ATTTTGAGCATTTTTAGAACATGTAAGCAAATTTAGCAAGGGTCATATGGTATCACTTGCTAAGTTTTTTAAATGCTATAAATTTAACAGAGGGATTAAAAATGGCCAAGAAAATTAAAAAATTCTGTTAATGAAACACGTTAATAAAAATTTAAAGAAGTTACAAAAAAGGCCAAAAAATTAAACTTAAGGGATAAAAATGAAACTTTTTCTGTTGAGGAAATTAAAAGGAGGCTCTCTATAAATGTGAAGTGACCAAAATAAGGTATTAATTATGTCAATAATTGACCAAAGGCCCACCTCCATTATGCTGTGTTTCTGTCCACGAACAATATTTTTTGTACCACCTTAAACAAAAAAAATTGTATAATAAAAAATAACTATTTTATTTCTAAACTTTTCTTTATCTATCAATGAGATGCCAACATAGGACACAAACTTTTAACCAATGGTCCTCTGGAGGTATCCTTCGGTGAGCAATAATTCAGGCGAATGAGACATCATTTCTTGGATAATTACAATCTTTTATTGTAATAAAGATAAATATAAAATTTTTAAGACTTTTTTAAGGATACACTTATTGTATTTTCATATTATTAATTTGTATGAAAAATTATAAAAAGAAAATTTATTTTTAATATTAATACCATATAAAATATTTTAATAAGATAATTGATAAAATTAGAGTTAATTTTTTATTATTTTATAAACATTAATAATTAAAAATATAATTAGGTACACAAAAAGCGAAACAATGGCAATGGTGGAAATTTGAGATCCATAATTAGCTAAAAGAGCCTTTGCCCATTCAGACTTGTTCTCTATAGGTCCATCGGTAAGGATATCGATCCAATGATAGAATATCATTTGAATATGTCACTTGCAATGCTGCCTTTATTGGTGTCCAGAATGTAGGGGTGGCAATTTCCCCCGATCCCTGCGGGGTCTCGTGGGGATCCCCGTCACGGGGACGGGGCGGGGAGGAATATTCCTCCCCGTGGGGTGGGGATGGGAGGCATTTTTTCCCCGCGAAATTTCGCAGGGAATTTTTCCCGTCCCGCGGGGCCCGTCGGGAACTCAATCCCCGCGAAAAATTAAAAAAAATAATTTAAATTCAATTTAATATTTAAAATAAAACCCAAACCTAACCAAATCTAACCCAAACCCAATTCAATAAAAATTAAATTTTACCCAACTCAAACCCACCCAACCCAAGTATCCAACTCAACCGGCCAACACATGTTACCCATCCGGCCAACCCAACAATCCATTCCAGCATCCTCTCCTTAGTCTTTACAAGTTCTAACCCTAATTTCATAACTTCAAATTTATTCATTTCCCCTCATTTTCTCCTCACTCAGTCACTCACGCACGCAGCCACAATCCCTCACTCACTCTTGGTCTCAGCCGAATAATCAACCTCTCAAGTCTCACCTCATCTTCAACCTTCTTCTCCCCTTCTTGCTGCTACAGATCTACTACATATCTGTTGTTGGAGCTGCTACAGATCTGCTCCTGAAGCTGCTGTCAAAGCTGTTAGCTACAGCTTGCAGATCTGCTCCTGTGCCGGACTCCCCTCTGCTTACTGCACTGCACTGTGCCGGACCCCCTCTGCTTGCTGCACTGCACTGTGCCGGACCCCCTCTGCTTGCTGCACTGTGCCGGACCCCTCTGCTTGCTGCACTGTGCCGGACCCCCAGCGCCGCCATCCGTACCGCCCTTAGTCATGTAGAGAATCTTATCACTGGCGTCACTAAGGGTTACCGCTACAAGATGAGGTTCGTCTACGCTCACTTTCCCATCAACGCTTCCATCACCAATGGCAACAAGTCCATCGAGATCCGCAACTTTTTGGGCGAGAAGAAGGTACTCTCTTTTTCTGCTTCTTATGCATTTCGTTTGTTATGTATATGTTTATATATTGATCTAATATGATTTATTGTGTCATTTCCTTCATTTTTGTTGTAGAAAGTAATTTGTTCAATTTGTTAGAAGTAATTTGCCTTTGAGTGGTGGGTTTTAAGATTGCATCTTTATTTAGTGTTTACCATTTGTTTTTCATTTTTTAACAAAATTGTGGACAAGCATTCAATGTGATTGAAATTGATGAATTTTTACTAAGGGAACTGTAAAAGTTATGTTTTTATATCATCTTTACTCTGTGTTGTAGGTTCCAATTGATTTATTCCATATGGGTTTATATATTTATGGTATAGAAAGAGGATAGTCTAACCATAATAAACAAGATGTCATGCATAAGCCTCGTGTTAATAGAAATATTTTCTCTGATGAACTTTAGGTTCGCAAAGTGGATATGCTGGAGGGTGTTTCCATCCTTCGATCTGAGAAGGTCAAGGATGAAATCGTATTGGATGGGAATGATATTGAGCTAGTTTCACGCTCAGCTGCTTTGATAAACCAGGTACTTTCATTCTGTGTGCGCTAGCTTTTGTTTAAGTTTATTTTATGGGCTCTGCCAACAATCATCCTTCCAGCCCCATCAGCACTTTTGTTTGTGTGATTAAGTTTACAATATTCTGTAATGTCTTTGTCTCATAATCTGGTTGGCCTTCAATTTGTTTTGAACAGAAATGTCATGTCAAGAACAAAGACATTAGGAAATTCCTTGATGGTATCTATGTTAGCGAGAAGGGCAGAATTGCTGAAGATGAGTGATTGCTATCAATCAAGAAACTGTTATAGTTTTGTTTCAAGAACCTCTTTATGTTGGGTTGATTTTTGCTTATATTTGGAACAAGTATATTGCTTTATGTTGATTAATTTCTATGTATATTTGGAACAACTTATGTTTGGAACATGTTGCTTTATGTTGGATTAATCTCTATTTGGAACAATTTTGTTGATTTAATTATTTGTATTAAATTAATTTTTATTTATGTTTGATGTAAAAAATATATACTTTGTTATTAATTGGTGGGGAATGGGGATCCCCACGGGGATCCTCATTCCCCGCGGGAAACGGGGACGGGGGGCAAAATCTGCCCCCCGTCAAAAATCCCCACGGGGATCCCCGTCCCCGTCATTCGTGGGGACGGGGACGGAGAGGCACTCCCCTACCCCGTGGGACCCCATTGACATCCCTACCAGAATGTAATGCGAGCAGGTGCACATAAAACTTGCCTTTTTACCTTGGACTCCAGCTCAAAGAAATGGGAAACATGAGTGCACCCAGTCTTTCCCGTGAATTGGAATTTTCACCGTTGGCAAAAAGCAAACACATACATCTTGGCCCCAATTGTCTTTATAATAATATGTCCTGATTTTTTTTCCTTTCATTATTTCTTTTTCCTCAGATATTTTTCTCTGCCTCGGATTCCTTTCCCTCTTGCCATTTACCAATAGCATACCTACGTTTTCAAAATGTTAGTGGAATTGCCTGCCCTCCAGCAAAGCTTAGCAGGGAGCAACAGCAACTTGATGCAAAAGTACGGAGAAAAATTCAGAACAGGCAATTATTCGCCCATAAAAGACAAAAAAAAATGTCAGTATGTCACTGTATGAATGTACAATTTTGAGTGGATGAAAATGTGCAATTATTTACCAGCATCATCAGACGCTGTAGACTAGGCGGTGAGAGTCTAGAGCTCAGCGCCATGTCAAATGCGTCCTTGAAACCTCCTATAGACATCAGGACATGACAGCTATTAATGGAGTCAGATATTAAATATGACGGAGAGGTATCAATTTTTTTCTATAAAAGCATTTATAGAAAAATCTAAGGATAGAGAAACAGTAGTTAATTGGTAATTCTAATTACCTGTAAAATAAAATGGCAAGTGGAAATGAGGATTCTTTGTATTTTAAATACTAAAATTTGATAT